TACTTTGAAGCAGAAAACTAAAATATACACTCTTTTGTATGATTGAAATGACGTCTTTTTGGTAAAAACAAGAACGATTGGGACTGGTGATGAGGGGTCAAACTTCGCAAGTGCCTGATTTTTCATTTTTTTCGATTACAGTTACCATATATTTTTGCAATACTTTTCATAAATCATTTTCGTCAGAACTTAGTACTTACTATACTTTTCTTTCTCGGTAAAATGTTTTTTAAGACAATCCGATGTATATTGAGTGCTATTCTTATCGCTAATTTCAATTCGACGTCTGCCCGAAGGTGGTGCAAGTATTTATATTTGAAGTGAGTACATACCTCTTCAAAACGCCCAGATGAAAGATTGAACAAGGCGGAGACAAAAAAATTCAATCACATTTGGGACGTTGTCGCACTGCATCGTCGCCACTCATATACTCTGACATTCCGATGCATGAATTTTGCTTTCTGGAAAATAATAATTGGAGTGTCTGTTAAATTGCGTAATGTATACGGGAGCACGTACAATACTAATGCTGCGTTTGCTAGCGTTGGTATCATGATACATGTGAAAAAGTATCGAAAGCGAAATTGTGGAAGTGTAAAATTTGTATTTGGTAAGTCGGTGTTGCAAATGTGGGTATTTTCAGGGCGCTCCCGTAGTAGCCTATGTGCTCCAGGATGGCGCACAACCTAATACCTCTATCTTTGTACATATACTATGTTCGGGTTGTGTGCCAACTTTGTGCACATACTACGGGAGCACCATTTTCTGCACAACCTATTCTGATGCTCATTCGCGACATGAAGAAACTATACGCCCGACATATAAAAGTAGCAAAATATACACAAAACCTTTTCATGTTTAATTTCAGAACTGACATTTAAAATTTTCAATTCTTAGATCTGTGGTTTTACTTTATTGCAAGATACGTAAATCATATCATGTCAAAATAGAACAAATAGTAAGGATTTTCATTGGATACTCAATATTTCTATATAATAATTTTCAAACTGAAAGCTTCAATTAGTGTTCACTCCTACACTTCCTTTGTGAAGTTGTGTTTTTAATGTTTTATCTCCCTAATAAATTTAAATTCAAATTTAATTCCCCAATTACTGATGGAGAAAGATCTATAATCGAGAGTTTAATACGGCTTCTGTGACATTAAAAACAATTACTGTTTTACGTTTTTATATATTTGCAACTTTTTGAATAACGCAAAAAAATTCGTTGGCTGACTACCGGCGTGTTGAATATTGAAGGATTTTTATTGTAACATTCGTTTAACGATGCTTTTAAGCCTAACTTTGGGCATATCAGCTACCTGATGTCATTCGCCGAGCGAATTTTGTTTAGGTGACATTGCCATCTCGTATTTACCATCCTGTAGCCATTCTTCTTATTTAGGAACTACGTGTTTTACAGTTAGCTGTTACAGCATGAAATAATGTACACATAATTCTACGTAAACTATCCATGAAATCCATTCCATAAACTATCCATGAAAAGATATTACAGTCAGATCTTCAGGTTGTAAAAAATATTATACAACAGCAACAGCAAGTGATCGAATATCTTTATTATAGCCGTGGTTGAACACCGCTGGTTGTCAATATAGATTTTGCACAGGCTTTTATACATTTTGTGAACGGTAAATTATGTTCTATTAGGGGATAATGTGACTTGGATACGTATTATAAAAGATTCTCTGCGACATAAGTCAATTGTTTCTGTTATGTAGTTTATATGAAGTCGTAGGCCAAATTACATTATTAAAATCGTCGTCCGATAACAATTAAAACTGGAATTTTGAACTAATATTGCCAGAAGACAAATTAGGTTGTTTATAACGATGCGATTGTTACTACCTGGGTAATATATTACGTCGAAATGTTTATAACAAATTAGAAGAAGTTTTGAACAATTTCAAGGGTTCCGAACATTACTATAAAGATGTCGTCTGAATAACTAATATTCCCTACAGATCTGTCAAATTTAACCCGTATTTAAATAATACATATGTCATACTTTTGAATTAATAAAAATAAACAACACAATGTCATTCAAACTTTACAATATTCAAATAGTTTTGCAAAAGCGTGATTGGTTTAATTAAATACCGATTTCCGGATGTAAATACTGATGATAAAAGTTTAATTCCATTTATGCTAAGGGGAGCTCTCATACAAACATTGACTTTTCAAAATAATGCAATAGGGAAACAACATATGAAAAAAAAATAAAAATTATAGAGATATGGCAACTACCATTGACAAAACCAAAAAATCAGGCACTTTTTAAACTTGCCACATTCCTACCAGTGATAGATCTTCTAGTTTTGGACAATAAAAATACCAAATTCAGTCATACAAAATATGTATATTTGGATTTTCGGATTTAAAGTAATCAAAAACATCGGGAAATAGTTTTTTACAAAGTGCCTGAAATTTCACAAGTGCCTGATTTTAGTATTTTGTGCTTGCGGTTGTCAGATTTTATCATTCCTATTAAATTTCAAATAAATCCAAAAAGTACGATGGTTATCTATATGTTGTCAAATGATATTGCTCATTGCATTATTAAAAACGCTGAAATTGTTGTAGAACTAGGAATTTCCTTTAAAAAGCAATGATTAGTAAGTTCTGACTCAAATAATTTAGAAAAATTGTTGCGAAAATATATGGCAACCGTTATCGAAAAAAATAAAAAATCAGGCACTTGCGAAATTTGACCCCTCATCACCAGTCCCAATCGTTTTTGATTTTTACCAAAAAGACGTCATTTCAATCATACAAAAGAGTGTGTATTTTAGTTTTCTGCTTCAAAGTAAGTAAAAACATTGAGAAATAGATTTTTACAAAGTGCCTGAAATTTCACAAGTGCCTGGTTTTAGTATTTTGTGCTTGAGGTTGCCAAATTTTATCATTCATATTCAATTTCAAATAAATCCAGAAAGTACGATGGTTGACCATATGTTGTCAAATGGTATTGCTCATTGCAATATTAAAAACGCTCAAAATGTTGTGAAACAATGAATTTGCGTTAGAAAGCAAAGTATAGTAAGTGCTGACGCAAAGTATTTAGAAAAATTGTTGCGAAAATATATGGCAACTGTTATCGAAAACAATGAAAAATCAGGCACTTGCGAAATTTGACCCCTCATCACCAGTCCCAATCGTTTTTGTTTTTTACCAAAAAGACGTCATTTCAATCATACAAAAGAGTGTATATTTTAGTTTTCTGCTTCAAAGTAAGTAAAAACACCGAGAAATTGGTTTTTATCAAGTGCCTGAAATTTCACTAGTGCCTGGTTTTAGTATTTGTGCTTGTGGTTGCCAGATTTTATCATTCATAATCAATTTTAAATAAATCCAGAAAGTACGATGGTTGACCATATATTGTCAAATGGTATTGCTCATTGCATTATTAAAAACGCTCAAATTGTTGTGGAACAATGAATTTGCGTTAGAAAGCAAAGAATAGTAAGTGCTGACGCAAATAATTGCTAAAAACAATGGCAACTGTCACCAAGAAAAATGAAAAATCAGGCACTTGCGAAATATGACACGTCTCCATCAGTCACAAACGGTATTGTATTTTACCAAAATATTGTAAATTCAACCATACAAAGTGTATATATTTAATTTTCTGCTTTAGAGTAATCAGATACATTGTAAACTAGGTTTTGACCAAGTGCCTGAAATTTCACAAGTGCCTGATTTCTATATTTTGTAATCAATGTTGCCACATTTTACTATTGAAGAATTATTTATACCCTAATAAATTGGAAATAATATTGTTTTATTGCAATATAGGGATGCAAAAAATTATTTAAAGTCTAATTATCTTGTCAGGTAAATTGGAAACCCCAATGACGTACGGTAAAAATAAAAAATATCAAAGTGCCTGAAATGGTGCCTGAATTCGCAAGTGCCTGGTTTTAGCTACAGGAGTGGTGACTCCTCTACGGCCCATGGGCCGGGGCCACGGCCCATCTAATTGGGCCACATGGGCCGTGGCCCATCAAGCTATGGGCCGCGGCCCCATCAGGAAAATTTCAATTATCTTACCAAAATTTTCAATTTTTACAAAACTGTCAATATTCGAACAAAAAAATATACTCCTGTAGTATGTGTACCAGGTTAGGGTTAGGACAAAAAAAAATTCAGATTTTTTACATTATAGTTCTATTATGAGTTCGGGGACTGTCTGTGTTAGCCAAGTGAATAGTCCCTTTACACAACTTGATGGGCCGCGGCCCATAGCCTGATGGGCCGAGGCCCAATTCGATGGGCCGTGGCCCCGGCCCATGGGCCGCAGAGGAGTCACCACTTCCACTCGGTTTTAGGGAGACCCGATAATTTATAAACGTTTAAAAATTGTCAGGAGGTGAAAACACAAGGCGAATTTCCATCAGCTCTGTTAAGCCCAGTAAAGTTTAACATTTAGCCTACTTTGGTTAACCAAATAAACTACATCTGAAGGCGGCATAAATAACATGAGATATTATGATTCAAAACTAATGAAAAATTAAATAGAAAACCATCGTAACATTGATTATTCCATTGATAAACAAACAAAGATTTTAGGTCTGTAACTTTTCATGCGATTTGAAAACCTTCTAGATATGTCCTACACTTTCTGCAGTTTAATATTTCAATTAGCCAAGATACAATTTTGCCTTATTTTCAACTAATTTGTGGAATTACTGTACTGTAGTGGTGATACTGATATTCAGATATTGTAGTTATTAGCCCATCTGTCAAATAATTTATTTATACATGATTCCGTTGTTAACAAATTTAAAATATTTTTCACCAATGTTTATGCATTCTAGAAATTCTGAATGATCACCATTCTTAGCACATTTCCATATGCAATTTTGTGTTTTTTAACTGTGAGCAGTAGGCTATCACTCCCATCTTTTTTTTTTTTTCAAATTCAAATATAACTTTTTCTAATTCAAAACTGTTTTTTTAATTAGCGAGGATTAGCCCCCAGTTATAACCACTACTTTCCCAGGTTTGTAATAAATTTAGTATGTGGAATCGGCGAGATTCTGGTTCTTTCAAAAGTAGCGTCTTGAGTCATCATCTTTGAAGTGAGTTTTAAAAAAGTTTTATGTCATTGTATTCTGCATTGGTCCTATTTATGATTTTTTGTGTTAGGATTCACGTTACCTATGTTGCGAGTATTAAAAAGTATACGCCATAAGTGCTTAAATAAGCCAAACAAAAATGTGATGTGAAAGTACAGAAGTAAATGATGATAACTGCTAACATAACGCCAAACAAATTTATTTCATGAAACAACAGTCAGTCTCGAAGAATTCTATACACTATTTGCTGATTTTGCAAGGGACATACCTGCTTAGTTTAAGATGTGTGTTAATTTTAACTAAACACGTCTAATGGGCAACTTCATTGCGCACGATCACATTTCTGTTTGGGTTATTTAATCAGCTTCACTTTTTTGTTTCGTGTGATTTAAGGAGTTACGGCGTTTACTTCGCTGGACCTATTTGCCATGTCATAATGTTTCAATTGCTTATGTAATAACAGATGTTAATTATAATACTATAAATTTTTAAGAATATAGGCAATGGCGGCAGGTCCTATTTCTGAACGCAATCAAGATGCGATGTTTATGTCGGCGACTGGATGATAAAGTAGCAGAGCCTTTGCTGTGGGAATTATTTTTACAAGCAGGGTCCTGTCGTCAACGCACACACTATGCCAAAAGATCGCTTACAGGAGCACATCAGGCGGTATGGGTTATGGGTTGAATTTCTTGGTGAAGATGATGCTGATTATTCAATTAAAATTTTGAACATGATAAACTTTTGGCAAACCTATTCGAGTTAACAAAGCTTCTTTCTCATCAGAAGAATTAGATGTTGGTGCAAATCTTTTCATTGGAAATTAGATCCAGAAATGATGAAAAATTATTATATGATACCTTTAGTGCCTTTGGTGTCATTCTACAGACCCCTAAAATTATGCGTGATCCAGAACAGGAAATTCGAAGGGATTTGCTTTTATTAACTTTGCCAGCTTTGAAGCATCTGATGCAGCTTTGGAAGCTATGAATGGACAATATTTATGTAATAGGGCTATCACAATTTCGTACGCATTTAAAAAGGATTCTAAAGGTGAGCGTCATGGCAAGTGCAGCTGAAAGAGTTACTGGCAGTTCAGAATCCTCTTTCTCAGGCAGACAGACCCACACACAATGTTTGCAGAATGCTCCTGTTATCCACAGCCTGGCTAAAGTAAATTCAATTATGGGTAATGCACCAATGCCAATGGGAATGCCACCTCACCACCAGGTCCACCAAGCATGATGCCTGGTAGCCTCCAATGCCACCTATGGGTATGGCTCCTATGCCCTCCTCCTCCAATGCCACCAGGTGGCCTTTCGCAAACCTATGGATGGTATGAATTCACAAATGAATATGCCAATGCCTCCATGGGCCACACCCCCTATGGGAATGGCGCGGACCGCATGGCATGATGGGCGGCCCACCTCGCGGCCCCACAATGGGTCCTCCTGCTCCATGGGGTGCTCAGGTCATTTTCCTCCCATGCCACCTCCCGGTGGACATCTTCCGGGCCACCTAATGCGTGGCCCACCACCGCTCCAAACATGGATGGAGCAGAAGGAACGAATAACTGGAATCATCACTACCAGAAAAAGGAAATCAATCAAGTTGATATCTTTTGAAGACATTGAAGGATGGGAGATGAACAGTACATTTACATTCCATATTAATTTATGGCTGTAATATAGGCAAACCACAGGGTGGATAAATATATTGTTGTATATTGATTGTCTCGATGACAAATATGTTCATCCCAGTTTGCAAACCTGAAGATGTTCCATCTAAACAAAATTTTGTTCTTGTATCACTATACATGAACACTTTTGCAAAGCCAAATCTCTTAATAAGAATAGTTATGTATTATCTGACTCTGATTGATATTCAAGCCAACTTATTGGTATGCGCCTTGCTTTTTACTTTATGAATATTGTCCCATGAAAATAAGTTTGAAATTGAACAGATTGAAGTGAAGTGAAAATATCTTATGACTTTTTAGTTTGTGGATGCCAAGTGTTTATATTGTTATTGTGTGCATATCACAAGTTATACCATAAACATGCACCTAATTGCTAAGACAGATTTGTAATATTATTTTGGTCTTCTTGGAGGTTGTTTATGCTGTCTTTCAAGAAATCTTTCTTCTCAACTGTTTGAATCATACTATTGAGCCATTTCTTATGTGGAAATAATCTTTTTTAGATTGTAATCATAGTGTTATTGCCTAATTTTACTTAAATGGCAACTCTAGTGATGGATCAGTTTTGATGGATTTAAAACAGGATCGCTTCAAATCGTCTTTATGAAACTGTATGTAAAACCATAAATTATCTACGCCATGTAATAAGTGCTGCAAGATTCAGCCATGCAAAAGATTTGATGAAAACTATTCAACAGGTGATTAATTTTTATCAGTATTAGGTTTGTAAGAAATTGTGTTTACAGTGAAAGATATTACACAATTTGATCTTGTATTTTTCAAATTTGTTTATTTTCTATTCAATGTTTTACCACTGATGGAAAACCCAACCAATTTTGAATTCTTATTGGAAATTTGGTACTTTCTATTTTGTGCATTCCTAGTAGCAACAATAACATTTCCCCATTACAATGATACTGTGGTAAACTGCAAAAATGCTATTGCGCAAATATAATAATTGAAAAGAGTGTGAAATGCAAGTTGTTATAACGATAAGAGGAAGATACACAAGTATTTCTAATGATTTTCATAGGAGGGGAAAAAAATTATTGCTCTGCAACCGTCTGCTTATGTTGTTGGTAATATGGTTAGAAGAGTCCTCAAAATAATTCGTGAAGAATATGCCAGATTACGAGGATTATCAGAAGAATCGGTGGGAAAGGAATCTCTTCATCGCATGCTAACGACGTCTGCCTCAGGTTTGTCAAATCAAATCCTCACAATCGAGCAATGTCAAATACATACATCAAAGTACTGAAATTGTTAATCACCGGTTCTCAAACTGCAGTTCACAAACCCTGAAAATTTATAGAGGGTTATGTAGATGGCAGTTGAGTTTTATGCATTATTACATTTTAATGTGGAGCATGACTTATACATTGTCTGTTCAATGCTATTATTTGCAACAAACAGACACAGCCTTCACACTAATGTTTAGGATAAAGTGTTTAAAATGAACATGTTTTTAATATCCTTTGTAATACAATTCGAAATTGTAACTGTTAGTCACTTAACTCACTTTATAAATTTGGTACAATCATGCTGGTGATTCAGAGATAAGTTGTTATACAAATTGAGGGTACTTAGCGAGACAAGTGTTAAGAATCCCAGGCATGGATGAATAAAAATAGGAAGGTTCCATAAAAATAAACCTGTTTCATGGTAGTTTTTAGTGATTTGCTAGGTGTAACTTGTAATATAATAACAATATTAACAGTGTTGAGAAAGCCAATATGCTACTGGAATAACAAAAATTCCATAGACAGTTTTGTAATTAGTTGGCTACTTGTAGAAATATTGCACAAAAGATATAGATGTAAGTGCTGCTAATTTCATCACTTTAATTGATTTTTCTTGTTCATTCAATTGACAGGTGATGATTTTTTAATGTCTCTAAAGGAACTAAAGATCACTGTAATGGAAGCAATCAAGGAATATCTCGATGAATTGGAAGTCTCAATACACAATATTTCAGCACAGGTTTAGTCTGATAATTCTATATTGTTTTGATTCATCTGCAACGTGAGAGAAAATGATAACCATCATTTAAAATAGATTGAATTTCTCAGAAATCATGGCTTGAAATGACTTACCAGATAAGATTTGTGTTTAACTTATAAATACGCTTATTACAAAGCGCTCCAGAAGTGTGCTCAATATGAATTTTTGTTCGCCTGCTTTACATCAAGTTGTGTAAAGGGACTGATTCCTATGGGCACACTATGGGAGTACCATTACAACGGCATAGCTTATTCTTTTTAAATAATTATGTTGAAAAGTTCAGAAATATCTTATTTAAGATTTTTTGAATAACACAGGTTCCTTACACATCATGTTTGTAACATTATATTGCTCTTGACAGGCAATCGAGCATATTCACTCCAATGAAGTTGTTCTCACTATAGGAAAATCAAGAACAGTAGAAGCTTTTTTAAAGCAAGCTGCCAAAACTAGAAAATTTCATGTAATTGTTGTGGAAGGAGCTCCTAACTTTGAGGTAAGTATTGTGCTTGGAGTGAGTGATCTGTCTTTCACAATCAGGTTAACCAATATTAGTGGTTCAAAGAAGTAATATTCTTGTTATATGTGGATCATGTGGCATAATTTTTTTTTTACCTTTAGATCTCGTTTTCCCCAGGATCTTTTTAGAATCAGGCATACTAATCGATTGCCTTAAAAAAGTATCATCATTTCACTTATTGACAAAATAAAAGGCTATGGCCTATGAGTTTACTTGGCTTCATTATAGAAAATCTTGCACCAAGTTGATCAAGTCAATCAACATATAGAATCCATTATTTTTACAGGGTCATATACTTGCGAAATCTCTGGCTGAAAGTGGAATTGAAACAACCATCATTACGGATTCAGCAGTGTTTGCTATCATGTCTCGAGTTAATAAAGTAAGATCTTTGATCAAGTTCGAATATCACTATTTCAATGGTGAAAAAGTTCAGGAAAAACGGATTTTAAGGAATGACATCTTGCTTAATTTCTAATTTTGTCACTTTAAACATCACAACAGGTTATCATAGGAACCCATTCTATACTTGCCAATGGAGGTTTAAAAGCTGTGGTCGGAACTCGTCTAGTTGCACTAGCGGCCAAACGCCATGCAGTACCGTTAATTGTTCTGGCAGCAATGTATAAACTTTGTCCCATGCATTATGCTGACAGCGCTGGGAAAGATGCCATGTTCAACAGGTAAGTGTCATCATTTTTGCCTTTGTAGTTTTGTTTATTAGTATAATATTGGATTGGCAGATGAAAGTAATCCCAGACTGTTACTAAAGTGAAATGATGAATAGTTGCGTAACTGGTGATTACCAAGTAACACTGAAGATGGGATTAAATATCTTCTTGACTAAAATAGTTAACAAAGCCTGCTTGTCCTCCCAGGTGGAGGAAGATCACTTTGAGATAAAGATAAGTTACGACGATCTTTTCGCAAAGAAATAATTCAACTTACATTAATTACAATATTTCAAAGATGTAGGATAGGCAAGGCCTCTTCGTCGTAAAGCACACCATTTTCATCTTGATAAAATCCCAAGTATGCCAGTGTGAAGACGAACACTTGTAGGATTTTCATGTTCATCGCGGGGACGAGGAAGAGCGGATAAGACGACCTCATTCATTATTGCCTTTAGACATTTGTTGTGTATATGGACATGGACTTAGTGGTGGAGAAAGCCGTAACAGACCAGCGCGTATGTGAACCACCCTACAGCAGCAATCCTCTCACACATAATTATTCTTCACAGGATGCGAACCCACGTACGGTAATCAGAGGTGCAATCGTGACGTATAACGCTTAGCTCCTAAGAGAGCATCAACTCAGACCGCAATGTAATTCCTATTTTTAATTTCAGGCTCACTTCGCCGCAAGCTGTGTTGGATTATGGTATAGCTGGAAGCAATGAACTATGTGGTGTTCAAGTATATTCACCAATGTTTGATTATGTTCCACCTGAACTAGTGACACTTTTCATATCAAATATTGGTGGTAATGCGCCTTCTTACATGTACAGATTATTAAGTGAACTTTATCATCCTGATGATCACGAGTTGTGACAATTTTGCAAGGTGAATCTCTTCATCAGGGTTATGGGAACTTGAGTTCAGGAGTAGTTCAAGTTTGGGTAGATGCTCAGAAACGAGAATAATGTATTTTGTTAAAGAAGAAATGACGAATTGGTGCAATATAATTTTAAAAAATATTCTCAAAATACGAATCGTAATTGATAAGATATTAATATTATTTCTTAGCTGTGAAAAAAAGTTTGAAAGTTCAAACATAGCATAAATACGTTACTTGTATTTCTGAAAATCAATTAGTCCTTTTGAAAACCCGAAGAGGCGAGCTTGCGCAAGATTTGCACTCTGCTAATTTTGTTGTTTTTCATCGGCATGGCGTGGTAAATTCGCCCATCGACAATTTTGTCGGCAATCTGTATTCCGCCAGTCCTTCCCTTTTCACATTCTACAAAGTACTGGACGTCCTTCTCCATGAGGACAACCAAAATAATATTTTTTCTCACGCAACTATACTTTCGAAAAAACGCGTTTTATGTAATTTTTGAGGTGATGTATTGATGTTTCCATTGACTACATTGGAGATTTCAATGAACTTCAATTTAGGATAGGATTCACATATTTATCCCGGGAAGAGGAAAGCCGGTATGACGGCCTAATCATATGGCAAACCACGGCTTCCCGTCCAGTTTTAAAATAATGATGATATAATTCAAAATCTTCATATTTGTGAACGAAAATTTGCTTGCGTGTAACAAATATTTTACGTGCGTGTCTTCCGAGTTTCCATGATAATATCGGTTCCTCGTCTGCGCTCTAATAATGATAAATAAAATCATCATTGCAGCAAACAAATTAACAGTGCTACTTCCAAGCGCCTAAAGTTTTTGGAAGAGATTTCGTCAATCCACTCTTATGTTATTACTTACGATACCGATTTCCAGCCAAACCAGATGTTTTTTGTGCACGTAGTCAGAGGTCGAAACTATTTTGCCTCTTTTTTAGAAGTAATAGCAGTTTGCTGTTCGAATATCTAGTAGAACGTGACCTGGACACGGCACGGCACGCCAGTTGCGCGTCGCTCCTTCAAAGACTTGGATTTCATAACGCACTCGTGAACCACTTCTGGCGACCACAGAGAATCTGCACCACTTGTTACCAACAATCAAAGACGCTTATTCAATATTATATTTGCGTTATTGTATTTGTTTATTCATTTTCGGTGACTATGATATTGTTTAATTTTTAAATGAGCATAGCGTGTGCCAATGTTTCGTGAATTTAATTACTTTTCAGTGGGCGATTTGTACAATTCGAATCGCCAATATATATGAGTATTTGGAAAAGTAATATTACAAAGATTTCCAAACGAATACATTAAGTTGAATTTGTAAAAATCCCAGTAATTAAGTCAATTTTTTGACGTCGTTGACGGATGGCTATAAGGGAAATCGGAGCCGACACGAAAGATAGCAATCACAATGAAATTAATTTTTAAATTTGGGTTGCAAATTCGTTTATATATATATATATATATATGCGCAGCGTTCATCGCCGATCATCGCACAATATCTTTCGAGTTCGTCGAACAGAAAGCGCAGTAGGCAACTGCGAGAAATATAATAATCGAGAAATATATAATATCAATGACCTAATACATATATATATTTAGATAACCGGAACAATCAATCCAAAATCACGAAACATACTTGAGCCTAGATATAAAGCTGAAAACCCAAAAAATCTGCTCCCAAACTCCTTTACAGCGCTCGTCACAGAAAACAGTCTGGTGGGCCGCGGGTTGGGCAGCCTCTGTCAGGAGTCTCCTGAAGCTACTGATTTGCCACTTCCACCATCTGGAAACATATTTCCTACGTTGCATTTATAGTTTATAGGAGGAACCGATGAATTGTTGGCAGGGCGTCTTCGCGTAGGGAACTTCACTATGCCATAGCTTAGGGAAAGGTGGACAGTTTATAATAGGGTAAGTAATCACATTCGGTCCGAGCATCGACACTAATCTGTGGGTCGTCCAAATTCACTGCTATTTGAAGCGTCGACAGCTTCCGCCTGGAAAGTCTCAAAAGTATATATATGTATAACAGATTGGTGATAAAGCAGGAGTGAAATGTGGGTCAAAATATCCTCGCCGTCGTCCCGCATTGTCCTCTAGCACAAATTTAAACGGTGTCAGAATACCAACGAAAAACATTGGATTTCGCTTCATTTAAAATGTTACTCATATTTACGCTATTATTTCGTATTTTGCCCGTTTGGAAACTAAAACCATATTCTACACTTTTCGTCAGCTTGTGCGTGAACTTCGATATTATGTCGTTGATTTCTATTTCCGCAAATTCTCCCTGTCTCACAAATATCTCTCTGCACATCGTGTGGACATTGACAAATTATGTTTTTCTCGTCTGGAACTGAGCGTCCATTGTAAAAAACTCGTTATTATGCAATCATCAGAGACGAGAAGATGACCAAAGATGTGAATCCTCAACTCAAATTTCCGACTGAAGACACGGGAGTGATTACTGTGAGTCAATGTTCCCTCTAATTTTTGTAGTATGTGTGCGCAGAAATTTTGGTGTGTGCGCACTTTTTTGGAAATGGAAATCCCAACCTGCAATCGAGAACATTGTTACATTACATCCAAATACGTCTGTGCGCAGTAAATCTATGCGTGCGCGCAGCCTCTGAAAGCTGTGTGCGCGCGCACACCTTAGAGGGAACACTGACTGTGACCAAGGCGGTTCTGTAAAATACTACAAATTGAACGAAAAACAACATACTTTTCGACCTGACTTTCTTGATTTGAAAGCAAAGGGCACGATTAAACCACAAAACTCATAAAGTCGGTATCGATCAAGGAAAAAGGGTATCGAAACAAGCATAGCATATACAAAGGGCAAAACATTAAACCACTAACACAATTAAAACAGTGGAATGCAATCAGTTCCCCACAGACCCAGAACTCTCACTGATAATTAATAGAATGGGATAATAAAGCCTAATGAAGTAAAAAAGCGGGAAAGAGAAAATTAGGACGAAAACTCGGTAAAAAAAAATATTTGTCACAGTAAATTAATAATAAAAGGATTGTCGAATAGAATACTGGATGATCAAACGGTAACAACAAAATATCAAAATATATTGCCATGTTGATATACATGCATTCTATTACTTGTGTTCAAAGTAGTCGCGATTCCGTTATATAGATAAAGCAAAGAAATACTAACACTCTACTAACTAACCGTCTACGCCAGCAAGCTAACAAGTCACCCAACCTAGACTACCAAAACAAAAGACAGACTTGCTTGAAAAAGTTTAATAGAATGGCGATGAATATTTGAATCCGCGCTCCTTGCTTTGTTGTTTTCAGGTAAATAGTGGAACGATAAGTTGGGAAAGTAACGGCTATCACCAATTACACAAAAGGATGCAGCAATGAAACTTGGAACCACCAGACGCGCCATTGCAAATGAAAGTCCAAAACTGTCCACACGTCACAGCGAAGCAAAATACAGCACTTTCCCGTGCTGACACGAAAAGCCCGACACATAATGACATAAAATGACCGTTTTCCCCGAAAATAACACTAGGGCTTATTTTGGGGAGATTTGTTCTATTTTTATTTATCAAAAACAAAATTACAAAGTAGAAAATCACGAAATTTTAAATTATACAAAATATTATTTCTTGCTATCGACTACGTCAGAAAAAATATTTCGCGCCATCGAATACCGGTAGGTCTTATTTTGTTCAAGGGGCGGGCTTATATTAAAATCATTTATAAAAATCAGGCTAACTCTTAATTTATGATTTGGCTTACAAGTGAATGGAATCTGCACTCGAAAATGACAAATCGGCTATTCCGTGGACTTGACCGCCGGTGTATATGTAAACTTCAAGACATATAAAATAAAAGTTATTTAGATACAGTAGTCGTCATAGTGTAAATACATACTACTAGGGTCATAGCAGTCGAGAAAATGCCTAATAAAAATACAAATTGTCAGTTTTTGGTTGTATTTCCGAAAATAAGGAATTAATTAATTAACTCAAGTATGATTTTGTTTTTAAAGGATCTCAGTAAGCCGTAAATATATACTGCAAGTAATCAAAAATGAGTCCCTCGGCCGCGTTAGACTAAACTCAAATTATCCACCGGTAGGTACTTTGGGTGGTAGAATGTTTTGAATTAAAATAATGGTTTGAACATGTAAACCAGGTTGGGAACGCGAAATCACGGAAGTAGTTTCGAAAAATTTTGTTAAGTATAGAAAGAATTTTTTGGGGTCAAGGGTCGGGGAAACTTATATCAATCACGGCAGTTATCATATCATTTGTATGCTATTATGCTTATACAGTATATATATCATGTTTCCCCCCGCAGAATATTCTATATATTCGATTGGTTCTGAATAAAATGGTTAAAACACCCGCCTTCAAATCAACCTCATTGAATCACATCATGGTTGAATGGTTAAGTCACGTGGTCGTAGTTCGGTCTTTCTTTACGGTGTTATTGCTGTTGAAGGTGCTCTGTTCTCTTTTGGGCTAAGGTCGATTTATATCGGCGACGTGCATCGTTCATTTTGACCATCGATTCTTGAATCTCACACATACACTTTTACTATGACGTCTACTTCAGAACTTGCATGCGTTTACGCTGCTTTGATCCTCACAGATGATGAAATTGAAATAACCGTGAGCAGTTTTTTTTATATATCTCAATTTTCTTGGTATGATTTGTAACCGTTAAGGAGATCAGGACACGTTGATGTTGGGTGTTCCTGACAATGCCGGGTGTATACCTCAGTCTGCCAAGAGCAGGGAATGTTAAGTTTGGTATTATTCAGAATCCCAGTGTTCATAGCAATCATGGACTAATTTCTGAATTGAGGCATGTTTGCAAAGTCCATAAATGGCTCATCCTACAGTCTGATAGTCCTAAAATAATAATGGTCAGTGCTTCAAGCTAATTCGCTACTGATTGCTGCATTAGGCAGTTAGGGCACAGTTTTCAGATTTCAAGAATAGCACCCACAATAAAAGACTTTAATTATAAAATTGGATGCAAACCCCTCCTTTACGAGATAGTCTGGGCCAGTGTTCACTATTAGCGCACTTTTTTGCGAAAATTGCGAAGCACTTTCGCAACTTTTTTTTAGGGACTGCGAAATAGCACTTTTTTCCGATTTTGAAGAGAAATAGCACTTTTTTTCGATTTTGAATGGAATAAAAATTCAAAGTTGACAAATGTTTTTGTGTGCGTATTAAGTTGACAATTAAGTAACATACTAGTACTTTTGTAACTCAATTCTGCATATCATAACGATATTTACCGGAATTCTAACCTATGTGGTGAAGACATGGAAGATAAAGCTTTTGCATTAATGGCAAAATTCTTGTTTTTTAATATGATTATTATACAAGCACACCGATTCCGCTTCCACCGCGAAAACGCTCGGCGGCGTCTTTGAAACCAGATGTCCGAATGCAAGGCAGTGCGTTTCTCTAAACGAGAGTGGTCATGTGACTGTCAATGACATCGATGAATTGTGACCAAAGTACACGATTTTCTAGTACTGGTTTGACAGGTCTGTGTTCTCTTCTTAGTGAATTTACTGGAGCCATTCAGAAATTTCTGATACTCGACACGACATTGTTTAGTAATGGAATGTAAACTTGGGCCATTGTTTGTTAAATTAGAAGAAACTTTTAGCAGCATCTCACAGATTTGCAAAATCGCCAAATTGACAAAATACATACGTCCATTTTATTGTAACCACGAATGTTAAAAGCAAATGGCGTTTCGCGGAATTTTGCGATATTCAGTATTAGCTAGTCTAGTCATTCACGATAAATCAAACTCAGACCAGGGTCAAAAATCAATCTAAACTATTTCCTCATTAATATGCGAGTAGGGGTGGGCAAAATCGAATATTTTTCGAATTGAATATTTTTAACGAATGAGGAATATTTTTTATGCACAGCAGGAGTCTGGAACGTCGGTCGAAAAATTAGCAAGGAAGCCTTTTCTACTGGTTAATTTCGTTATAATAGCTAATTGTTTTTGTCACCGCAATCGTTTTGGCGACTATATCCTGGGTTTGGCAATCCAGGCTTACGCGTGCGTTCACATCGGCAACAGCTGTTAAGGGCATCAACGACAAATTTCAAAACCAAAATAAACATTGCGTTGACTTGATATTACCTATCAACGTTTGTAAATTTACTGTCCCAATTTTAAGCGAATGGTATTATTATTATCGATGCCGGAATGCAAATATTTAATACGATAATTAACTTTTATAATTTTTTTATGGTGTCTGTATTAATTTACAGATAAACCTCGCAAATCTGAGATTGTGCCAATCATGAATGTTGGATTTAAAATTGTGATTAAATAATTCGGCATAAAGGCATTTCTGCGTGGCCATAAGACGAGACGACTTTAATAAACAGCACTTCTTTAAGGATATTTTACATATGCGACTAATGCTAAAAACATTGGGCTCGAGTGCTCTGGTGCATAATCAGGCGCTAATTGCAACTAATTCAACTCAAGTTTCAACGACTTTTTTCGTCTTCACGATATGTTATCTTTTTTTATTCGGTATTGATAATGATAAATAAAAAATGGGTAATTGTTGATTGCAATTCCGGAAAACGAACGAATTTAACCGCGGTTAACCGCGCATTGGAAAGCAAAACACAATTTATTAACATTACTTTACAATGAGTTACGGGTAAGAATTAACCAGACGGCTATCGCTAACATGTAGAAACAATAAATTTGAAACGATTTTGTATAAAGCGTGTCAACATCGTTTTTGTAAATTTAGAAACGTCGATAAGTAAGACAAGTAAATAATGTATTTTATGGAACTTTCATGAGATATTGGTGAGAAATATTATTTTGACCATGTCGAAATGCCATTATTGCCGATTTATTCACGTCACGTGTTTAGTTACTATCAGTGTTTTAACCCAAAGCTGAGTTACGTAAATACTTAACACTGAGTACTCAAGAGATAACCAATTTGCGGAGTTTTTCAATTATTATTTAATACGAAAGTAACACAGACACGATCTAAAATTAAAAGCATAGAAATGTCAACTATCTGCTTCACAAATATCGCATCCCGGGGTCAGTAATAATATTATTGTTCGCTTAAACTCGGGACAGTAATTTACGAACTGAATACAAATCCTACACAGAAGATAAAAATCAGAACAAAATCAATTTTCGTTGTGAATGCGCTTATTAATAGTTGTCTTTAAAATCTTCGCCGATGTGAATTCACAATTCTATCCGAAATATAAAAACCAAAACTACGATGTCCGCCGTTACGTGAGTATTAATATTTGCTAGTGAATAAAAACATGCTTTAATATAGTTTAACAACACGATCGCAGCGACAAAAAATTTACTGGCAGCCTTCGATTATGACAAAATTATGAAATAATCATTGAAATGACAATAAAAATTTTAACTTCATTAACAATAATTTTCAAGTAATAGTTTCACATTTTCATGATTTTGATCGTCGCTACATGCGAGCGTGTTTTTGTACATATAAACCATGATGACACTACTGACATCTGCGAGTTATAGATCTCTCCAAATTTAATTTTCGCAGATTTTTAATGTTTCATTTCTAGATGCGGATGCCCGCTGACTACGGATAAATGGTCGATGTTTAAAATAGGACTTCGGACCGTTGGGCAAAGAAAGGCGGGCTACACGTAACTGCGAAATTTCGCCGTGAACGACCTTACATTTTAGTTATAAAACGCATTACGTCGTCGCGAATTGCAGTTTTGGTGTAAATGTTTTAACTTCCCCCTAATCTCCCGTTAAAAAAAATTCTGGGCTGCGCCCCTGCCCGGTGATAATTCTAGCTAAAATGTTACAATTTTATTTACGGAATTTGCAAATTCACCATTTTGATAATCACGCCCTAATTATTGGTGCAAAAATACTCAAAATATCACGAATTTAATCATTTCCGATGTTACTAGGCGCAATTCATGACGGCGACAGTGTGCGTTGTTACATCGAAATTCACGATTGATTTTACGTTATACTCTTGTTCACGATTTCACTCCACCCGCCATGCATGGCTGAGTGGAAGGTTCACATTTTCGAAACATTACTTGGCCAAGGATGGGAGGGATCACTAACGAGCTAATTGAAAGCACATTAAAAGGATTATGACTTGTCATTTTTTTCTGGTTATAGCCTGTACATGTTATACCATGTGTGGGCTCTCGGAACGTCAATTTAACTTTTAATTTTCGACAATCAATTGTATGTGCGGCTCCTACATGAAACGGCTAATTCATGCTGCCAATATACGGAGTTTGAAATCTGGGATATTTATTTCGAATAGTCTATTTATTTTGACTCTTCTAAAATTAGGAAGCTTTGTTGGTACCTTTTTTGGCGCAAAGTATGAAATTGAAACGATACGAATATTTTGCCCAGTCCTATAGGCGAGGTTATGATATTAACGCAGAGAATATTTGTAAGCATATCACTGGATGGAAATATTTTGCACCAAGACTGTTTGCAGAAGTTGATTTATCGAATACACGGAAAGTATTTATTTATCATCTCACTTGCGAACATCGGGGTTTGGGCGGAATTATACGATTATGTTGTTGTTCTTAAATAATAACTTTTTCGATGAATGTTTATTTTACTTTTGTGTATTAATTATGATATGTTGAGTTTTCGTTTATTTCAAATTCGAAATTGTCCGGAATACTCAAACAGGTGTAATAAGTGTTGATAGTATAGTGTAATCGAGTAACCAACTTAGAAGTCTTTAGAGATGTCTAATGAACTTGATGTGTTACGGGTGTCGTAACCCCCGTTTTTTTTTATTAAATTTGATTGTTCTACCTTCCGCTTATAAAACAACATCGTTATACGGTCATCTAAGGTAACTCTCGCGACCAAATCTTTTTGTTCTGTATGGCATCACCTTAGCGCCATTTATTACCGACTGAATTTTAATTGTGATTTATGATAAGTTATTTTCTGTTAGTTGGCGCTGATAACGTGGCTAATTTCTTTATAAACATTTTTAATATGTTTAATTTTAAAATTTAAATTTTTTTTAAATATGTTCCTTACGTCTCTGCTATAATTGACAAGCGATAGCACAAGATTCAGCAGCAAATGATAAGCAAAGCTATTTTATAATCATGGGTTGCTTAATAAAGATTTGCTAATTATGGCAGGATATAAAGAACATGGCCTGAAATATATAATTAACAGAACGATGTTTATTTTTCAGTCGACGAAAACCCTTAATAATAACGATTGCCGAAATCGCGAAAAAAATGAATACGGATTTTCGATTGTGATCAGATGACTGAGAGGGCACATGTTTTTTTCTCTGTTCAAAGCAGATATAAAACGAATACCATGTTGCCGAAAAGCGGTTACGTGTTATCTTTCTTTAGCCAATCAAAATAGTGGTAATGGTATATACAAGAGGTTTCTAAACTTTACAAACTCGGAACGCAATTAATATTAAAATTACAAGTAATGGTGCATGGAAAAACGAATTTGATTTTATTGAAATTGAAACGCACACACATAAGAGTTTTACATTTCATGCACAACTAACCGATGCTACATGTGAGATTTGTGCACATGAACGATTATATATCGCGATTATTTATGTGAGAATGCGTACTTCTCTTTCAACTTTAATTTCCAGGATTTCGGCGTTCACGTGGTCGACTAAAAAAGATTTATCAAATGGATTGGTATTTCGCGTCACACTCAAAATTATTTGGGAACCACTATCATGTCATTCGTTTATTTTTTACATTCATGTTTTTTTCAAGAATCACCCTGTTGTATTTCCTGTACCTTCGCAAAGGAAAACTCTTTGGTGTCATCATTACTATTAGTGTAATTGAAAGTGGCGTTGAGATGCGAATATTTCATACTAGGTCTGCAGCATTAGAGAGAGCGTTATTTATAAATGCTGGAAGTACATGGCATTTCTAAAAAAAATTGCAAATATATGATGTTTTCTACCCGATTTGAACTAACTGGCACGCAAACCAATGCAAGTCGATATTTGAAATTACACGTCTTAGCGTAATCCGTGAGACAGTATAATATAAATTAGGCCAAGCTAGCTCATGAAAGGGATTTCAAAGTGATCTTGCATAATATTTCGGAAAAAAAATCTTCGATAGAAAGTAGGTCACTCTATCTATAAAAACAGCGGTACTTTCATGGTGATCTTGCGTTATTTCCCAAAGAAAAACTGGCCGGAGAAACATGACGTTAACCAATCTCTTAAAAGGGAAGAGGGCGGACTACTTTCAAGCATATTCTTTCGGACGAGGAAGCGTGTTATACTAAAGCGATATTGGTGTCATGGGGATGTCATTTTGCCCGGGTTTTGTACAAATGATCCCCCTCCCTAGCTATGGCCGGTAGTAACTAATATCTGCATGTATCAATCGGTGTCTGTTAGATGGAAGAAACAAGTTTGCAAGGCTTGTCTGTTCAGGCGGGAGTGCGCTTCGTTACTGACGCTGGTGGTTGATTGCACGAAACTTTTATTCCCGACAAGTGTGGCTTATCAGGTGTCCTTTTGATGAATTCGCTTGTTTTTTAACAAGAGTTTTAACGAAACTCGTTAACGGAAAGACTTCAATTCACAATATTAACGGAAGGAGCGCTTTTTCGAGTATCTATGCTGTTGAAAATGAAGTTTAAATGAAAGCTAGGGCACCTAACTAGTTAAAATCAGAAAAAAGCACTTTCGCACTTTTTTTTTCGACTGCGAAGCACTTTCGCACTCATAATTTCCTTAGAGTTAACACTGGTCTGGGCCTCTATTTGCAAACCGGCACTGCACAATACACTAGAAGAAATAATCCCAAGATACCAGAATGAAAAAAAATTTACCATAACATTCGAAAGTTTTTAGCAAAAAGATGAAATTTTTGGTCATGTGACAGCCACAATTAATTTCCCGATTACAGGATTATAATCGGGACAAGCCAGACTGGATTTCGTTGCAACTGCACACTGAGTATATAGTACTCCCTGAAAATTGCATGCAAGCGAAATCCATTTGCACGTTGGAAAATTTGTGATTATTTACCATTATATCTGACAGTCTGAGGGTGGTTGAATAAATGGCCACCAATAACAGTACTGACGAGTTCTAACATTACAAATATACTAGGAATTATGTGGGTTAACTTAAGTTCATTAATAGGCCTTATAATATTTGTTTTGTTACAGACTATTTTAATCTATTATTTTTATCTACAGGCTGACAAAATCACCACTCTTACCAGTGCTGCCAATGTAACAGTGGAGTCATATTGGCCCGGCCTTTTTGCAAAAGTATGTTGGATGCAATTTTTATTTCTAATTTTAATTTATTGGTTGCATGATGAAAACTTAAGCGCAAGCGATGTCTCAAATGAAGATAATCCTATCCCACTGAGCAACCACGATTTAATGAAAACAGCAGCTAATGGGGCTTACTAAACTTAAAGCAGAACAGATCACATATACAGGGAGTCCCTCGACTTACGACGCAGTTCCGTTCCTGAGACTCGGTGTAACCCGAATTTCAGTGTAAGTCGGAACGTACAGTGGTACAGTGCATGAATTACTCTATACACATCGTACTGTATTGTAAAGTATGGTACTGTACACTTATGAAATGTACAAATAATGCGAATGAGAACTTTATTAGAAAAACATAAAACAATTCCATATCACGTGAATAAAAGCAAACCTTGATGCACTAACATCAGTATCATCTTTTTTTTGCTTTGAGTCCATAACAAAGCGCGAAAGTAAAAAAAACGATCAACAAGTTACGAAAAAACTGACTAAACAACCAAAATGACTTACAGTATCACTGAAACTGTGTACAGTACTACATCACTGGAACTGTGTACAGCGACCGTTGTAACCCTAGGACTCCCTGTATTTAAGGTGCATTCTTCGCTCACATGACTATGGCATTGGTTTCTCAATTTAGAAAGTAGTTGGAAGTGTTTATACGGTAGCAACTTTTTGTATATTTCTACAATTGATAATTTCATTTCGAGTCGCTATGGAAAAAAGGTTCATTAACACATTTAATTTTTTCAATGGTGGATTTTCAGGCTCTTGACGGTATTGATGTGAAATCACTGATCAGTAATGTTGGTGCTGGAGGTGGAGGTGCAGCGGCAGGTGGTGGAGGTGCTGCAGCGGCAGAGGCGGTGCTGAGGAAGGTAAGACAAATTCCATACAAATTTTTCTAGCTAATTTTTTTTCAAGTCTAGATGCAAAACGAAAATTATAACTAATGAAATGGAACAATAATACTACATTTGTAATTATTGTGACATTAGCCAATGAAATATATGGTATTCTTTGTTATTAAAAGAGAGTGATTTACTAATGCTTTCACATGAAATTCATTTCAAACCAAAAGTGAAGGTAAAAGGATGTGGTTGCTATGATGACACCCTAAAGCGCAAACAGATTTTATGTGAAGATATTCCTATCCCACTGAGCAACCTAATAATAAATCTTTTCTTTGGGTACATGAATTATCAAATTTGTGCTCCAACTGATAACCAATTCATATTTTAGCTAAAGTGGAAGAAAAGAAAGAAGAGTCTGAAGAAGAATCCGATGATGACATGGGATTCGGACTGTTTGATTAAATAATGTATGTATCTCTGATGTGCCATTAAGTTCAAATTTGCTGTTTATTTTTTTATTCACTAGCATAATATCATCACCATTCCGAAGATAGTTATCCCCAAAAAATGAGGTCTGTCCAAATAAGCCAGTTCGCTCAAACTTATTCAGGTTATCTCATATAAGAAACCGCGATTCTTATTTCCATTTCTCATTTATTGGTTGCAATGATGAAAATTTAAGCGCAAGCGATGTCTCAAATGAAGATAATCCTATCCCACTGAGCAACCAGGATTTAATGAAAACAGCAGCTAATGGGGTTAGTTATTGTTTGCTGTACCCTTAAGTTTGAATTTGCTAGCATAATATAATCACCATACCGAAGCCAGTTATTCCCAAAAAATGTGGCCTGTCCTAAAAAGCCAGTTCGTTCAAATTTACTCAAGGGTATTCAATATATGAAACGGTACATGGACAGCAGACATTTAAGTTTTGTTGTAGAAATAAGTGATTAAAATCACCATGCTCTTGATTAATAATGTTTGCAATTGCAAACTTGAACGTAGAGCTTTGATATAATTTGTATTCTCGTTTTTTCCAGAACTGAAGAAATAAAAGAATCGACAGCGCAAATATGTTGCATTTTGTTATGGCAGGTATAGATTTATTGGTAGAAGCTATGGCAGCTGTTGTATGTTGGAATTAGCGAGAAAGGTACAGGTCTTCATGATAACGTATATCAGACAGATTACCATGGTCCAGTTCAGGATTAGTTTGTGGACTGTCTAGTCCAGTGTTTCCCAACCTTTATCCGCCCACGTACCATCTCGGGATTTGGTGTAGTGCTCGCGTACCACCTACACAAATAATGCGCGCGAAAAGCTATTTCTCACCGTTTGTGACGTCATAATAACGTATTTGATTCATGCAAAATGTAACAACAAATTCTATTAAACTAGGCCGCATCAGCCAAGATTGATGTGGTGCATGTTATTGTTTTTCCGCCACTATTCAAAAGAAGAGCAACATAGTGAAATAACAAAACAATCCTTTTAATATGATGGCTGCATTTGTTTATTTTCTACGAGCTGGTCGATGCGTGGCATACATTTGCTCACAGCTAATCGGAAGTCATGCATTGGCTCAAGGAGTCTGTTTCGTTTCTTAGATTTGATAGTCGTAAGGGATGAAAACTCTTGCTCTCACTCCCACGTCGAAGGGAAAATTAACAGCTGGGGAATAGCGCGAGAAGCAAGCGTCACATATGAGGAAGCCATGCTAAGCCAGAAGTTGATTGCGAGAACATTCTTTGTGTTTCGTCTTTGCAGTCTGGTCAGCCTGGATATCTATGAGCTCCTCTTGCTCGACAGGCAGGTCGGCTGGATCAATAGAAAATGGATCGGTTATGTAGGCACAACATATAACATCCGGAAAGTAATGCCTCAATTCGGCATTGAGCAGTGACGGGTGATCAACGATTTCGTGGGAGACTTCATCATCGGGCGCGCTGGGAAGGGTTGTCACGGATGTAAACATTCCATATTGCTTGCTTTCTACGTTATTTTTCCAGAGGTCCAACTTCCGGACAAGCGCTCTCAGTTTTGAATGAACTCTACGATAGTACAGTTTGGTCCTTGAAATGACAAATTTAAACGGTTGATGGTTTCAAAAATGTATGCCAAGTAAGTCAACCTTATGACAAATCCCTCATCCTCCAGATCTTTCTGAAACTCGTGATCTTTCTCCCGTAAAACGCAGTAGTTCGTTCCTCTATTGAAAAATACGTTTTGTTGTATTTCCCCTGGAGAGCCAGCGCACTTCTGTGTGATAGAGAAGACAAGTGTGATCGGAACCGAGATCTTCACAGATCAGCTTAAACAGGCGACTATTTAGAGCTGACGCTTTAACAAAATTACAATTTTAATAATTCGGTTCAAGTACGATAACAACTTCGGTGGAAGTATCTTGGCGCTAAGGGCGAATCTGTGTATAAAACAGTGTACACCGGTGACGTTTGGTGACACGGCTCTCACATGGGCTTGAAACCCAGACTTTCGACCAAGCATGGCCGGAGCCCCATCTGTCGTGCATCCGATTAGTTTGAGCCAATCCAGTCCATTTAGCTTGAAGAAATTGTCTAGAACAGTGATTCCCAAAGTGGGCGATATTTTTGCATCTTGCTGATTGGCCAAGTAAACAAGGAAGTCTTTGCCAGGGGAAACATCCAAACGGCGGTTTTAACGATGAATTAATTTTATTTATCATCTACGCTCGAGGAGTAAATTACATTTCTTTTTACGTAACAGAATTTATCGTGAGACACGTTTAGACTAAATTTTATTATATTCTAAAAATTATATTGAACAGCTAGCTACTCGTTTAAATAGCCTACAATTTAATTATAATTAGACAAATGGAAACGCGCAGAAAAGTTGATGCTGAGTGCAGGGGTTCAATAGCGCAGTAAATATTCGGATATGTTGCAATGCAATAAGGAAATCAAATTCATATTCTATTCGAGAGATTCATCACTGCTTAATTTTTGTAAGAATGCGATCCGCAAAAGAATAGCAATCATAATATTGTCCCGCGAGCGACTTAAAATTTACCGACCCCATAAGCCATCCGGGTCCACGAATCCAAAACAAATGGCTGCTCAATTCTATGGACTGGCTGTGCCGCAGAGAAGGTCATGAGAGTATTCACTATATTGTGAATAAATTAGTTATTTATGCTAAATTTGCTTTTCTCAGAACAAAATAAAGCCCTCACAATCGAAGAAAACATGATGCTCCCAGTATATCATGATAGGAGATCAAGAAGATGACACACACTTGTACCTAAGCAACGTCACGCAAGGACTTACTATATATATGTACAGTATTTAAATATGGGTAATATAGTGAGATTAAACGCTGAGGGGAAAGGAGCACAAGTTGATACACCAACTATAGTTCTAACTGAGCTTAATTGAGACGAAAAATAAGTGGTTGGAGAAGTTGACGTAGCTAGCCTGGCTTACGAAAAAAGTTTTTCACCAGGATAACATTCAGTCGGTGGGAAAACGTTCTGGTGATCGGACTGGAGGACGTGGTAGGATGAGGCGTGGGGGATGAATTTTACCGAAGACCCTATATATATCATGTATTTTGGTGAAGGTCGTCAGGCTGCAGGGATGAATGACATGTACCTAAATCATTATTATAAGTTTTGAAAAATTAATTTTGTTTTCATTATTTTAATGTGAAACGGGGTGGATTTAGGGAGTTAAATGTTATAAGGCAAGAATACACGGCGGTTTTTGAGGAGGTAGAACCCTGGATTCTTTCATATCCGACCTCTGATATGGTGAAAAGAGAGTTTTCAGCCGTGACACTATTGCTATCAAAACAACTAAATTGCCTTTCCATCAGTAAACGGGGTAATTTTAGATATAATAAAAAAACTCGCCGAAGAACACCAAGATCGTCCATCTCATTAAAAAACACTATAAACCAGGGGTTCCCAAACTTTATTAGCCGCGGGCCAAAATTAGAATCGAAAGCATGTTCACGGGCCGAAAGTGCGCTGCGGTTTAGCTGGGATTTAGTAGATTCACATTGGACACATTTTTGAAACTTGTGTGTTTGACTCGTAATGAAGTTAAATGTTGTATTCCTTCAGAACTAGAATAGTTCGCTGGCAAAGAGGACAAATCGCTGAAGTCTGAGTCATAGTCTAGGTCAGGGCTACTCGACTACCGGTATGACAATGTTTCAGTTGTGTAACTTAGCGCCGACTTGCTGGGATGATTACAAATATTCGACCCCATAGCACCCGTGAATATATGTATATATTTATAGGTCTTCCGGCGACTTATATTATTTTTATGACTGAAAATTTAGAATTTTTTTTTTTAAATAATATTAAGGTAAGCCACAACGTTCACGAGAATTTTAGCATGACGTTTCATTAATCAATTTCGTGTCCAATAGCAAAGTTATCCGTCAATCGTTAGTCTGGAAAATTACATTTCAATCTTGGCTCTAAGAAGTGAGAGTATACTATTTTGCAAAATCGGGTTATTTGTTCTAATTTTAAATTTCAAAAATACAACTAGAAACTGACAAATGAGTACAAAGCCAAAACACAGTCTAATCGTAAATATATACTACTACGGGTCTAATATGTACCAACTTTTCTAAAAATCTTTGAAAAGTGTATTTTTTTCTCGTTGTTTAGCGAAAATGCATTACATCACGATTGTGGAATAAAAAGAAACGATGCATTCCAACCGGTACGTATATTTGAGATACAGCTATAATCGAATTGCTATGATAAACACGAGCTTAGACTGCGATGATGACATAACAATTGGCGGGTATCTAGTTTGCAAAAGGTAGAAACAAAATCTTCACTTAAGCACGGCGGGCCATTTTAAATCGTTACGCGGGCCGGATTTGGCCCGCGGTTTGGGAACCCCTGCTATAAACTATGATTTGTCCTCTTATTTGGTCTGTAATATATTCGTTTCAGCCTTTCAATTTTTTTTGCAGTGCCGGGGGCGATGAAGTTGTATAAACTAGTGTAGGGAGGCGATGGTACAAAAAGTTTGGGAACCACTGGTCTAGAACGCTGAAAACATCCTTTCCTTTTGTTGTACTGCACAACTCTTGGCTCAGCAGTAATTCTGTTTTTTACAGCATTATCCTGTGTGAAACGGACATAGACAAGTAGTTAACTGCAGTTCGAAACATCTGTAGATTCGTCGACCTGTATTGCAAACCCAAATTTTGAAGCTCTTACTCCCGCAGTAACTTGATCGGCAATGTCAACTGACATCTCCTCGATACGGCGCTTTAGAGTATTGTTAGAGAGGGACACACTGTCCAACTTTGCCACGGACTCCTCTCCCATCACACGTCTGACCAAAATCTTTGCTGCCGGCATTATGAGAGACTCTGCAATGGTATGAGCTGTAATGCTTTTAGCCACCAAGAAAGCGACATCATACGACGCTTTGACAATCTCTGTCCCCTTCTGGTGGAATAAGCCAGTTCTGTCCAAACGCTTCCGCTTCATTTGCTCCGCAAGTCGCCGGAAGTAGCTCTGATCTCGATTTTTCCTATCAGCGTGGTTCGTTCTAAGATGACGTAGAAGCAGGCTGGGTTTCATGGACGCGTTGGAAAGACCACTGTGAATCCAGCAGAATTTCAGTAGAAAAATATTCTGCAGTTTTCAACCGATTCCCACGCGGAATATAACAACTTTTAATAATATTAATTACGAATAAACTGATCCTACTCAGAATTAAATGTTCCGAGAAAAACACATCGGAGAAAAAGATACGTTTAAGCACATTAAGCTGGTACTGGTAATTATTAAATACATAAATAAGATTCACATGACGGAGAATCACATAAAAAAAGAATATGTTAGCACGAAAAACAAAACAAAAATCTAATATCACATAAGGGAACACCAAAAATATCGGTAGGTTTTTTTGCAATGTTACTAATGCTAACTGTAATGTATGAGCCCAAATTCGAATATAATCCGCAAAATGCCGACAACTTATAAAAGTAATTCTGAATGATATAGATAGTCACGAGTATAATATGATATGGGGGTAAGGAACAAAGCGAGTCTTCATG